TCTAGCTTGCAGCTAACTTGTAAAATTAAATTGAAGTAATTCTTGACATAAATTAAAAAATAATAACTTTATTTCAGTGTCAATGTATTTAGCTTATTTACAACTAATTGAGGACACTATTTATACTATATATCATTATTTATTATTATAACAATATTGGTAAATTATTTTACATTTACTGACAATTAAGTATACTACATGCACAATTCAAAAACATAATATAAATGGATGGACTGACAGCTGAAAATTTAAAACTACCTTAATATCATGAGGTGCAGAGTTTGCAACAATTAGTATTATTGCCCTAGCTATTATACTCGAAATGTCCAATTTATTTCTAATATCGATCTTAGATGATGTTAAGCTTGTAGATACTCTGGTTTCCGTGTCAAAGTTTTGACCAAATTAAATAGTTGGACCTACAGTAGATGTCTTATCGAGTGTTTTCCAAAGCATAAAAAAGGCTTGGTGTGATGATAAAGGTGCCTTTGCCACCCTCGCCTTTACACTGTCTGAGGTTGCATTTTCATTTGCAAATTTCTTCCCAGGAAACGACCTTGAGAGCTCATCAAACAAAATAATATAATCTATTCACATCTGTTCAACAAACTTATGAACTTTGCAACAAAGTTCAGAACTTTGTGGTCAAAGTTTTGTGAAATCGACTGTAATTGGGTCAACCATAATGAGCACAAGCACACTATCCTTGACAATTAAAATCAGTTGGTGTTAGGCAGAGTAGAATAGCAAAGTTGGCACAACTAGTCAACTAGACACACAGGCAGATAGTCCAGATGATTAACCATTGAGCACAAGCACTCTCCCCTGATGAGTAAAATTATCTGGAAAAGAGTAAAATAATAAGTACAGTTACAGGGCGCGAAATAACGGCTGGAGGGACGCCGGTCAAGGTGACCGGCCAACTCAATTTTAGCTCGGACATACCGTATTTCTGGCCGGTCATATTATTCAGCTTAAAGCAAAGCCTAGTAAAGTATACCCCTAAAAATGTGACTATTTTCCCAGTATAGCATTACAAAAAGCCTTACTGTAATCAGTAATTAAAAACTCCTTCACAGACCTTCACATAAAACAACTTGCACTGCGCTAAAACAATGGCCTTAATTAACTCTTAAGCCAAAAACATGGCCATGGGCTTTGTGACGTACTGCGTGGGAAAGCGTTATTTCCCCGCAACGTATTGGACAACATGTTATGGTTCTTAATTATAATGCTTGACAACTTTGTTTTGATTATGAATTCAAATGAAGATTAGTTGTTTGTTCTTTTACCAAAAGTGACCAGTCAAAATGACCGGAAAGGTAAGAATTTGACCGGACAATTCCGCATTCTGGCCGGACATTGTCCATTGACCAGCCGTTATTTCGCGCCCTGAGTTAGGTTGCATTGGGGTGCAATGCAACTTAAATGAGTTAATTGGGTTAATGGGTCATGTGAGTAATTGATCTACATTGGACTGCGAGCGGTCCCTCAGGGGAAAGGAGGGACTGCTGACAACATGTGTATCAAGAAAACAACTCAAAGATCCCATTGGTCGAAATTGACATGCCTGTCAATCAAATCTGATATGTTATAATTTCCAGACTTGCATGTTGATTTTATAAATAAACCCGACATCACTTAAATGAGCAGCTACTATTAAGATTAATATATAGATTAATTGGATATGACTAATGTTTACACAAAGGTGAATCCAATTTGATTAGAGTGAAAAGTGGGTGCATTTTGTTTCTTGATATTTTTTTCGGCAGTCCCTCCCTCCCCCCTTAAAATTGTGATTAGCGCTGGAAACCTAAACATAATAAATTATATCTATTTTTCTAGCTATCAATGCATTCATCGTAGTCTCCAGGAGAGCAATAAATGTCCAAAGTGTAACTTTGTTATTGATAAACAAGATCAAATTTTCCCAAATTTTCTATGTAAGTTGGCATTATTGAAAACATTATAACAGGGCAGATCAGGGCTAACACTTGTTCAGGGTCTTGGTGTCTAGCAATGGTGTGCATGTTTTAGTGTGGTGGGGTGCAGGTCAGGGGACAAGTATTGACCAAGGCAGGGTGCATCATCATGCATTAAGTCCAGATTGCAAATATGAGATGGTGGTGATTGTGATGTGATTGATCCTCAGAAAATTTATTACCAAAGTGACATGGGTGCTTCCTGGAATGCGACTTAACATTCCTATCAAAATATAACTAAGTGTCGAAGCGATTTCTAGAAATGCAACTATTGGAATGGAACCTGCGAATGCAGGAATGGAACCTGCGAACTGCTCCTAGCTATAAGTAGAAGATAGAAAAAAATGTATAAAAATTCTACTAAATTAAATGTATAAAGATTCCACTCGAAACTACAAATCTCTTCTACACTTAACATTCCTATGCCTATTACTGCTAAGGTGTCAAACTATTATTAGCTAATCTTGGAAATGTCTCACTTACCCATCAGACTTTGAATTTCCATTCTCAAGATGTAGATTTTACAACATTAGGAATGTTAAGTTGCATTTTTTGACATGAAAATATGACATTTTTAGACGAGAGGAAGCACCCATGATTTTGGTAATATGAAATGTATATGAATTGGAATAGAGATGCACCATATATTGTGTCCTGCCGGTTATCAGGGCTGGGCCGGAAAGTGAGATAATCTCATTATCCGATATCCAGCTGGATATTATTCCGAATACGGGATATTGTTTATATAAGGTTCAGGCTTTCTTTTTAGGTTAAAAGTAATTTGATAAGGTTAAAAAAGTGGGGACTGTTTGTCATATCTGTACTTGAGATGATCATAGAAAGGCTGGCAGTATTTTCAAGATTTTTCATGCAGATTTAACCTTTGAACTATGTGAGCAAAGCTCTTGCAGTGTTTGCTAGACTGCGAAGTTCTTTTCAAGTATTAGCGAATTTAAGTAAGCAACTTTTTTGTCAACACAGAGGTCAGATTGCCGAGGGTGCACTGGATTAAAAACTATGTTTGTATCAGTTTATGGTAAATTTCAACACATATGACAAAACGTAAGATTTTTAATTTTTTTTGCTTCCTTACATGAGTGCTTTGATGCAAGATGCCTCCAAAATTAGTCATACCTATTTTCGAGTGACGTCCGTGCTGACAAAAACATGACTTGCTTAATTTAAGCTTATTATTATTTCAAGTAAAAATATGAAGACACCTTCACGTTTTAACTAATTACATTATTATTTCATTTAAATCCCCCGATCCTTATATAAAAAATATCCGGTATATAATATATATATAATAGCCAGATAGCCAAATGATCTATTTTTTTATTAGCTGTAACTAATTACCTAATAACTATTGGATTTGGTAAGAAAATTGGCACTTCCCATCCTTGCCAAAGCTTAGGGGCTGACTCTGTTCCTAGTACCCAATCCTCTACACCTCTTTGTACATTAGAATCTATGTTTCTGACATTCTGTAATATTAATGAATTTGTTTTGTAGTAAATGATCTTATACTTAAACGGAAGCAACAAAAAATTGAAAAGAATATACAAATTAATCAGCCATTAAGTGAAGTAAGTTAGTCTACCAAGATTACACATAAAGTGAATGTATATATAACACGTACATATAGGGTCAGATAGTTCATGGTAAAAACTGTCAGAAACCTCCCCCCCCCCCCAAAAAAAAAAAATCTTATCAAGACTTTAGTTTTAAAACCAATTGTATTAATGGTATACCCTTCCAAAATATGCATGCATGCCACATGCATGCGGCATGCATGCAGGCATGTTTGTGCATGCGCTCAAATTTGCATGCACCAAATTGCATGTATGAAACATGTATTACATGCATGCACTACCAATTTGCATGCATACACAAGGAATGGACCATTTGCATTATAGACTAAATTTTGATCTAGACAAAAATTTCATCACAGCTTGAAAGAGCATCACAAAATTAGTAATATTCCAAAGTTTCGTTGCGAAATGTTGTAAAATGCGGATAATATAGCCTTGCGAAATTTGCAATTTTCAGTCATTTTGTATTGCAAACGGGAAATTGATGCCCCAACACCCGATTGGGCTGTCAATTTCCCATTTGTAATGCAAAATGACTGAAAAACGGCAAACTTCGCAAGGTTATATTATCCGCATTTTACAACATTTTGCAACGAAACTTTGGAATATTACTAATTTTGGGATGCTCTTTCAAGCTGTGATGAAATTTTTGTCCAGATCAAAATTTAGTCTATAATGCAAATGGTTCATTGCATGCATGCACTACACACGTAAAACAAGCCCGTAGCTGGCTCTCAATTTCTGGGGGGGGCACTGCAGAAAGAATGTAACAGAGGGTTTGAGATGAGAAAAAAAATTTTCCGGAATTTACTTTGGCGACCTC